CGGGATGTTTTCCAAGATCCCCTGTGACCCAGTCGCCCTTTAGAAGGGAACCATGTCAGCAATGTTGGCCATGGTAGCGTGACGTGGTCAGATTTCGATGCCGTACTGTTTGTTTTTCAAGATTAGGATCCTCTCATGACTCTCATGTAGCAATGAGCTAGTTCACGAAAGTCTGAATTTTCCACCAACCTTCGTCAAGTTTCGTCGAGTTTTCGTCCTGGGAGAGCGTCGTTTTCGTCTCCAAGGCAAGAATGGAGCTCTCTGTGCTTTCTGCCACTTGTGTGATCGCTTGGAGAAGAAGCGCCGACAGAAGGCCGGGCCCAGTGGATCGGAGTGAGGCTGCCAGTGGTGATCAACTCTCCCCTGCAGAACTGGTGTTCTTGACCCCTTTTCAACCACCCAAATGGAGGCTAAAACATGCCAGTTTGATTGGGACAGAAAGTTCAATTTGGCACCCCAAATTGACCAGGCAGATCTGTTCATTTGTAGTGCTTCAGCATGCCCACAGTGCCAACCCCGTGCCCATCTATGACCCGGCGGCCCGGCGGATCACTTCAAATTTCGCGAGAGATACTCTTCGACGACCACATCACATGGAAGTGGAGTTCACCCCCTGTTCGCAGAGTAGACAGGTCTTTCAGGGGCCTATGCCATCCACTTCCATGTAAACTGAGCCAGAGCGTACCAAATCGTTCGACGTCAACACAGCTTCTAGAGCTTGATATGCTTCACCTCACGCGACATTAGCGTCAACCCTGGCCCACTTGGATTGGGTCTCTGAAAAAGATACTCGGCCACTCCCTGAAAAACGCGTAGCGCGAGGCCAAGAAGATGATGTACACCGCCGGTGCCTGAACTCGCCCCACGGTGCAGTGAGCCCCAAAAAAGGCGAGCGACGAACCAAAAAGAGCAGTGATCTCGGTTATGATGGAGGATGCAATGACATGATACTCATCCTCCAAAACCATGGAAGTGCATTTCTTTTTTGGCGGAAAGCCACTATCCAAGGGGACATGATTTACTTCTATGTCGGTTTTTGGGGATGCAACAATCCCCTTTGAACTGGAGAATTCGCCCCTCTGCAAAATAGCGGGTCCAAGGATCAAATGAGACAAACTATGACGACTATATCACAGAATACGCTTAACAGCATCCCAAGAGATGGAATTTATGAGCCTAAAGATGGGGAGAAACGTTATAGCTTCACCCGACCTTTTTCATGAGGACGTTTAGGATTTGCCGTCTATGCCATGCGAGTTTTGTCCTCACTTATATAGTTGCTTGGACAAAAATATGCAGCCGCACCGCCACGCCTGTCGTTATAGACATCCTTGGCCTTGTTGTCAGACGTCGCCATCTCGCCGGCCGCTGTACCCGAACAGGAAATTTGGAGATCAGCTGGTGGGCTTTGGAGATGCAGGTTGTTCCCCTGCTCACGAATCTTTGATGGGCTTTGGTTCGGAAAACATAGAACCTGAACCTTAGAGCTCTGGGTTCGGAATAGTCCAACTCCCAAAAAGACCCAGCCGGTCCTATCGCATATCAGTTGTTATGGCTTTGGACAGGCAAACTTTGCAGGAAAAAGGATATATATATATATATGTATAATATGTTATTCCCATCATCGCCCGCCTTCAAAACGAGGAGAAGAGGAGTGCCTCTTAAGACTAGATATCCTTTGCAAAGGGCTTATATATTCCGTGTTTGTTGAACATGTGCCTTGTTGAATTAGAGGTTGAACTCTGGCTTAGATGTCTTAATATGGATTGGCAGGTTGTCCAATCATTTCGTATCAGGTTGTCCAATCATTTCGTATCATTTCGTCTCTAGCACTGTTGACTCCGTCTTCAGAAGATCTAGTTCGACCCTCTGCTTCAAGCGGATCTTCCGATCGTGTCCCAAAGCCTACCGGCTGCCAGCTGCATGTCCCACGAAGCGGAATCCCCCGACGGTCGCTACGAAAGCAGCCCGTCCTTTTCCGCCGTTGGTGGGCGAGGCAGGCAAGGTCGGCGTACTTCAAAACTCCAAGAAGCAATGAATCATCAGTCTCACACAGGTATTGAAGACATGAACTACTAGTACATCACGGGTCCCACTGAGACAGTTTCGAGGATACTGTATCATGAGAGCCTTGCTTTTCCTGGGGCCACTAGGCCAAGGACCCCACCCAGCTTCAACGCTCTTCGCCAATCGTCAGCACCAGCAGAATATCTTTGCAAGAGCTTGGGGAGACCCAGAGAGAGCCACTTTTGGGGGGGGTAGCTTTGTTCACCGGGCACACCCACCTGTGATCGAGGAGACAGTGCATCTCAAAGCACATCGCACGTGGGAGACCCCTCAAACAAACGAGCTTGAGCTGGTTGAGAGGGGCATAGAGTTGTCCACCAGGGAAGTAATAAGTGCCAGAACCCCTTTCAGAAGCTGTTGGGATGTGTGAGGGTGGGGGGATGGAGGTACCGTACCTCCTGATGTACTGATACAGGGATACATAAGGGTCTCAACAACATCAACAAGGGAGGTCCGCTTGCACAAGGCATTGCGAGTGTGTGCGGAAAGAGCTGCTTCTTCAAGTAGTCGCACAATCCTGTACCTGTCCTGCACTCTTTCAGGGCCTGGTGTACGGTAAGCTTGCTTAGCTTTGGCGATGTCGCCCACGACCGTGCCTGCGTTTCATCTCGCCCTCACGGCCACTTGTGTATGAAAAGGGCAGACAGCCCAGGTCAACAAGGGACGAAGAATTCCTTGTAGATTCAGGTGGACCCCCACTCACCCATCCACCTTCGACGGAGACTCCCGACGGACGTTCGTTCTGAGGAGTCGAAGGAGTGTCGACTGGGTCGAAGACGGACGGACTTAAAACATCGTTCGCTGTGTTCGATGCTTCTTGGTTCGTTCCGAACGAGATGGTTGGGGGCTGCGGGATGTCCACCTCGGCGGAATGTCCACCCGCTCGCACTCGACCCATTGCGGGCGGGGTCGGTCCGTTCTCGGGTCCGGATCCCTGGTGCTGCCGGGTCGATCGACGGGGATTGGTTCTGAGTGGGTTCTGATTCGAACTCTGAATCATGGAGGAGCTCAAAGCCAACTACTGAACAGTACAACTCGCATAATGTAGAAGGCTAACCGTAACCCTTCATTTGGATTGAACAACACTTCTTCATATGGGGGTCGGGACCCAAGTTGAAGTTGTTGCACCCCGCGCAAGAAGAACATTGGGCAAGCGGACGAGTCCATTGGGGTGATTCTAACCTGGTGGAAAGGTTTGGTCACGGTGGTTTTCGAACCTCAGAATCTCATGGCGGGTGCCCAGCCTAAAATGACTCAGACAGGTCACCACTTGGGGACTCTCAGGCCTAGCAGTTGGCCCTGCTCGGCAGTTGGAGGGTCCAGGTCACAGGTTTCTCCGGCTTGGCTTGGTGTGTGAATTTGCAAGCCGCAAGCTGAAGATATGGAGGCTTGGTGCACTTTCTAGATTGGCTGGTTTGGTTTTTGATTGGCTGGGAAACAGTTGGCTGTTGAGCTCAGGTTTGCTGTCTACCCCAAATATGTCCCAGCTGATTGTCCATGACCCCCTCAGAAGATCAGTTGAAATGCTGGGGTTGATTTGCCGCTTCGCGTGTCAACTGGTACATCATGGTATATACATCTAAAGTCGACGGTTCATTCATCAACTTGACCATGTAACCGTGTAAAAACTGTTCATATTTTTTGCTTTGCAGGCACATCAAAGGTTCACACATTCTCTCACAAACTATGATTCTTTGCGACTTGCTAATGAGTTCAGACACCATTGCTGATCTCCAGAGTTGTACATGCAAACCATGACTCTATATGACATGAATTACAGGCTGAGAAAGGTGAAAGGCAACACATAATCCCTGATGGACACAGCAGAAGAAAGAAGCAAGTGTGGGCCTTTGCTGACCCGAGAATGGACTTCCTCGATGGCTCGATGCAGGCATCGATGGAATCCTATGATTTTTGGTGTACAGAAGTAGTTCGTTCAAGTGAGGACCGTGTTCAGCTTCTCGGAACTCGTGAAAAAAGGATGGCGAGCCTCGCAAACCGCATCGCCTAAAATCGCTTCGGCGGAATGAGACGTTCATGGCTTCTCCTCTCCCTTCTCCCTCTTCACGTGGCACGTGGCGCCCAACTCGGCACGACCGCGTTCGGCTCCGCAGGGTCGCCGGCGGCCGCTCGGTCCACAGAGGTCAGGACCGACCGGGGGGGTGTCTTCGAAGCGCGGAAATGGGAGGATTGGATGAATCGATGAGAGCCACGAGAAGAACCCGGAGGTTTCAGCCTGAGACCGAGACGGAGACGGAGACGGAGAGCTCTCCAGGTCTCAAGTGTCCATTTGAGCCACACTTGTTCAGGGACCACTTGAGTGCATGACTTCCCAAAACCACTGAGAGGAAGATGGTTCACTGGGGTGAGGGTAGAAGGTTGCCTGTCACTTTAGCTGGGTCCACGATCTTTAAACGAGGAATCTTGTTTTATCATGCAGTTTTGTCTGAATGTCTCACACTCTTTGGTGCAATGGTGCTCGGGACTATCCAGAAGAAGTCTTTGGGATCTTCTGGGGTTGGTCTCCTCGAGGTTATGTCACACAAGAGGCAGGGGTAGCCTTTGTCATTTAGGCTGTGCGGCTTCCCAAAGAAGGATTAAACTTTTTCTATCTTTTTCTTGGCTCCAGGGGAGGAGCCCGCCTTCCTTTCGGACGCTCCAAGACGGAGGGTCGTTTCAGATGGTTTTCTGAGCTGTTGGGCATGGTTTTCTTAGGAGTCATATCATATTAGTGCAGCCAGACCAAGGAGAGAGAGAGAGAGAGAGACGGAGAGAGAAAAAGACTGAGAGACTACAGCCTACAGCCCAAGATACCATTCTTCTCGAAGTGAAGTCAATTATCGGGAAACCCTCAGGCACTTCAGGAATTTCCAGATATTGCACGTCTAAGGCGACCTTTTCTTCTTTCATCCATCCTTTTGGACCCGGGTGCCATGCTGCCGTTTGCAGCGCGCTCGGAGCGCCGCGCCGGCGCCGGCGCGACCTTCGTCCCGTTCTTCGTCGTTGCGGCGTGGCTCGCGTGGCTCGGTGCCGGCGCCTTGGTGGACGAGGTGAATCTCCTCGCGAGGACCGATAATTTGCCTGGCAGCTTCTCACTGGGCAACACGCTGCCACTGGTGGCCAGGCTGGAGGGCGGAGGGAGAGGTATAATGAGGAATATTGAATATATATATATATATACAGTATACATATGTAATTACTATATATGTCTCAGAAATTGCTTTTGATGCATTTTTGCTCATTGGATGTGGAAGGACGGTGTCCATTTTGGATGCATTTTCACGCCGACCGGACGACCGGACAAACCCCCGCCCCTGCCCTGCTTCGGCCCGGACTTCATCTCGACGACTCGCGACTGACGATTCGACGATCAGCGTCGATCCCAAGAACGATTCCAGGTCTTCGGGGCCACTGAAATGGGCAGATACCAAAAAGTCTCTGAGAAGCCCTCGGTTGACAAACCAGTTCAGTTGACTTCAAAGCGGTTGAGAGAGAGAGAGAGAGAGAGATCCTGCAACATTGCACGCACTCTTTTTGGAGACTGGATTTGTTTGAATGGTCTGAAGAACCGGAATCACTATGAATCACTTCTCCAGCAAAGAAGGCTCCAGCGAGGAGCGTCGAAGACATGGGGTCTTCCTCATTCCCGGAGCGGACGAGCTCGGGAGCTCCAGAGGATTCAGATTGGGAGTATGGACCCACTAGTAACCGAGTCTTGGGCAGGCTTTGGTGCACGTGCACGTGATGGACAGCACACTGGTACTTTAGAATCTTTAGAAGGGTCGCTTGTGATGATTATATAATGCAGTTATATATATATATATACATAAAAGTATAGAACATGTTCAAGTTGATGTTCAACACTTCTGGACCTTCAGCCCATCTCCGAAAACAAACCTCTGAACTCTGAACATGTCCATCCATTCCTGCGGCTGCCGCACCGTTCAAAACAAGTTACAAAGATCAGACGGAGACCCAGACCGTCTTGGTTTTGGTGGACGTGGGATAGCACTCGTCCAGACTGGATGGGATGGAGGCCATGGGGCTTCAATCATTGGTCGGTGCAGACCGAAGGCATTCGCACCTCGGCGGGTTTGATGGCTCAAACACGTGGTGCGGAGGACAAGAAACGCCCCTCAGACCATTAGGGCAGATATATCACTGACATCCTCCCAATGAGCAACCACTAGGCAATACGCCCCCTGGGTTTGGTATCGCCAGGTCTATTTTTTTGTCACTAGGTTGGAGGCCATAGCAGTAGGTAGGAGTGCATCGCTGGGAAGTTGAAGGCCATCGCTCTTGGGTTGGAGGCCATCGCGAGTAGGTAGGCGGCAGAGCGGCCATGAGTGGCCTTTAAAAGAGTCCTTGAAACAAGTCCTTGGCTGACTGGTGCTAAGTGGTTAATGAGGGAATGAGCCCCAATAGAGCTTCCTTTGGATCCATTCCCTCATTCCCTCATTCCCTAACTAAGCACCAGTCAGTTGGTCACTTCTAACTTCAATCTGTCTCTTGGCCCCTGGACGCGTTTAATTCAGGCTCCGTGGAGGGCAGCAGCTGGTGGTTCAGCCCGAAGAGCCGGAACTTTGTGGCAATGCGTTGCACTCACCAGGCAAGTCCGTGGATCAGTGACTACGGGACACTTGGCGAGTCCGTGGTTCTGGGTTTAGCCCGAGCGTCCAAGGACGAGGGGGAGTGAAAAACACCTGCAGGACAGCTCTTCAGCCAGGTCTCTTCCCCAGCTGCGAAATCTAGGTCAAGAGAGAGACAGGACTGGAGATCGGGTGGAGGTGCCGGTCGTTCTTGTTTGACATCTTTTTGACTTTCTGGATTTGCTAGATGCAACATCTAGTTGAGGGATGATCCTTCTTGAACAAATTTTATACACCCCACGCAAGGGTGTACCGGTTTTGAACCCCCCGAAGCGCGCCCATTGGGGTCGAGCCAGATTTTCTTCGGATGTTGACGTCTCCCACGGGGTCCACCAGGTTTGTTCGGCTTCGCTCATCGAGTTGGTGTCGGATTCGGGTGCCAGAGTGCCACGGCACCAGGGTCCGAGTGGTCGGCAGAGTCGGCATGTTTGAGTCAACTTACTGTATATAATCACATGGTTTGTTTGGGCCCCTTAAGCTGGTTAGGGCCCCTGCAACATCGTTCTTTCTTTGTTCTTATTCTTCGGCTTTGGAGAATGCAGATCTGAGGCACTTCCTGGTCTTCCCAACCTTGACCAAGAGGGACTGGTTGACCTACGAGCCCCTAAACAGCAGCTTCCATCCCTATCGCTTTGCGGCAGAGCTCGAGGAAGATGGTCACCTGGCCACGTTGTTTGCCCGTTTCGTTTTGGGGGGTTGATAAGGTTGATCAGGCTGGCCTTTTGAGGCCGCATCCTGCCTAGAAGTTTCGGATTTGACATGGGAGGAAGAGCCACCCAGGAGTGGCACGTCCCTAGAAACCTTTGTTCTCGCAAAATCGTAGACGTCACCACGGGCCAGGGCATTGGTCCAGAACTTGTCTGTTGAAATCAAATTTGGATCTCAATCCGAGGCCCATTCTGCCCAAACCAAGCACAAATCCATCTTAGGGGACAACCCCTCCCTGCCACGAACTGGTGATGACCAGGACCAAACACCAAGCCGCATGCCATGGCACGGACTTGTTCTTGCTTTACGCCACGGGTTCGAGCAGGTCACCGCATCAACTTCCAGATGGTTCCAAGCATGCACGGTGCCGCCTTTCAAGTCTGGATGCCGCTCGAGGGATTTCTCTGTCTCTTGCTGCCGAAAGGATCCTGGCAGAGAGGAGACGGTTACGTCTCAGGTGCCTCGGGCCAGATTTCGCTTTGAAAGGAGGATAACAACCAGGAATCTTAACCTAATAGCGATGGCCTCCACCTAATAGCGATGGTTCCACCTATAGTAATAGCGATGGCCTCCACCTAATAGCGATGGCCTCCACCCAATAGCGATGGC